TTATTACACATGCCAGTTTATAGTGTGAATGTGCATGATAATATCTTTATAATTTTATATCCATATAAAAGCACATTTGCAACAACTCAAGATGGCATTCAAGATCAGTTTGGTGTTAATCATATCGGCCATTTTGTAAGTAAAAAAATCTTTAAATTTATAAAAAATAGATAAAAAATATATCATAACACGCATTTTATATAAATTACAAAATAGCTATTCACACTCTTACTATTGCCAACCATCAAAGCTTCAGCTCCATCTCGTATTGTTAATGTCAGCAGGTCAGTTGGACTACTTTATCTTAACATATATCAGGATATTTAATATTATAATATTCATTAACTTATTATCATTAATAGTTATGTTCATTTACAAACTAAGGGAATTGACTTTGACAAGTTAAATGATCCGAATGCTCACAATTCTTTTCAAAGATATTGTCAATCAAAACTCGCAAACGTTTTATTTACTGTTGAACTTAATAAAAGACTTTCAGGAACAAACGTTTATTGTAATTCCCTTCATCCAGGTAAAAATATCATTCAAATTAGAATTAATATATTATTTATTGCACGTAGTAAAATATTCTAAATTGCCATTTTAACTTTAAAAATATATCTATAAATAAGGTGTCATAAAAACAGAGCTGCTGCGCCGTGGGCTTATTATCATTTGGGGAACTTGGATAAGGCCATTAATTTATCTGGCAGAATTATTTTGGCTAACAACCGATGATGGCGCATTAACACAACTTTACTGCGCTACAAGTCCTGAAATTGAAGAAAAAAACTATCGTGGAAAATATTTTATACCTTTTGGTGAATTAGCGGAACCTAGTATTCAAGGCAAGGACAAAGAATTGGTTAAAAAATTATGGAATTTTTCGGAACAACTTGTCAAAGAGAAGTTAGGTGATGATATTTTAAGTAAATGTTATGCATAGAATTATTTATGAGATAACTTGAATCATGTAGACCATTACCTTATTAAAGCGAAATCGATATTTCCCGTTGTTCTCAGTTATTATTCGTTAAATCTGTATTATACATTATTATGTATTATTCATTGCTAGGGATGGACATGTCCCAAATCGGTCCTAAGCAGATTGCAAGTTTTTGATTTTCTTTTTATACTCTATTTTTTGTGTGAGTAATTAGCTATACTATAATACTATTTCAAAATTTTGCTAATATTTATTTGACAATTAATATAGGTATATCCTTTTCCTATTATTGTTCTATTTGTTCTTGTTTAAAAATAAATTAATTAATTAATAGAGCTCTGAACCTTGCTTTACTTTATTCTAACTAATCTCTAAGTATTAGACCTATTTTGAAGAGAGTGTTTTTTTTTTATTTTAGCAAAAAAATGAGTTTGTTATAAAATTCTATTTATATTAGTTTTTTTTACCTGTACTAATCTATTTGTTTTAGGTTTAGATCATAGATAAATTAATATAAGTTTCAAATCTTGTTATATAGTTTAAATTTATATTTTGTAGTATTATAGTATATAAAAATTTTTTCTGTAAATTTAATTAAACTATTAATAAAGATAGAAACATAGTCTTATCTAGCTTTGCTAAAAAAAAACTAATCTATTTGTTTTTTAGTATTTTATTCTATATTGTTGCTAAATTGTTATATATATATATATATTATTATTAAGGCTGCCTTCTTGGCTAATTAGATTTTATTAATTTTTATTACAGAGTTATATATATAGTTTTTTCTAAGGTTTATAATTACATGATAAATATACAACAAGCTATATATGCAACTTTAGT